TATATACCATCGGCTTTTAGGCAAGCATGGTGCCAACGCAACAACAATAACAGTAAAAGGGGACAGGTGGACAGGTGGTGGGGTACAGAACAGAATGAAAAGAGGGTGAGACAGGTAAACACGGGGGAATGGAAGATAATTGAGATAACAAAGTTTTTTGTGTTTCATCGCACATATTTTGATATTTTTTGTGTTGTTTGTTGTTTTTTCGGGGCACGGGATTTCGACAGGCAGACCGTACAGCGTTCGCGCCATTAACTTCTATTCTGGGCCATATCTCTCAGCGTCTCTAACCAACGACAATCCTCATCCCTTGGGCCCCAACATGGAAGGCGGGCTGCACCAACCGAAGCCAAAGCTGAAGCCAGCTTCATGCTTCTAGCCCATGTCATGGTCTGACTGCCGCGTCGCTTCTTCCAGCCTTCCCCGCACGTGCGAAGAGATCACGGAAAAGTAGTAGTCGATGGGCAGGCATATGCAATACGTGACCAAGCCATCGGAGGTGGTGTAAAGCGATTACTTCTGTTGGAGAACGACTATCCGCACCCGTCCGTTGAGACAGACTATGGTAGGTGTGCCGAAATAGCTGTGTGAGAAGCTGACGCTGGAGGCCAGCTAAACTGTGCTTTGAAGTGCTCCGCCCAACATGCAAGACGTCGCTGTTGATTGTGAACGGGCGAACCGTCAGCTTCGCAGATCGCTTCGCTCACACCCAAGGCTTTCCTACCGGTGACCCAGAAGAGATGGAACAGCTTACGGGAATTACCCATGGCGGCAGCACGTTCCATCTCTAACGCATGTTGAGTCCACCAGATCTCGCGGTCTCTGCGTAGGCTTGCATTAAGTTCACGTCTCGTTACGAGTCGTGTTTGCTCGCTGCCGGTCGGAATTGACCGACCTGCCTCAAGAAGGCGTAGAGACTCTGCAGAGATCCAGGGAGTCACGGCGCGACGTGTCAGACCACAGCTAACTAAGCCAGCAGAATGCACAGCATTCTTGATAAGCGACCAGTGCTGGTTAACGTCATCGGGTGAGGCTAAAATATGACTGAAACACGCTGACCGTAGTGCCTGTTGTCAAAGATATACACAGTTTCTTCAAACTGCTACTTCATTCTGTGGGATGACTTGGTTACTTGGTGACTATCTGGAAACAGTGGTTGGACAGGAAATGTCTACATCCTGAGATCCACTCTGGATTCCAGTTATTTACATCGGAAACAGATTACCGGAGTCCAATTTTATAGCACAAAACCGTTTTCAGCCGTCTATCAAAGCTGCATTCTCGTTCAGGACGTGATGATGGAATGAAGCGTTATCTCACAAAGTTTCATAGCTACACAATGCAGAGCACCGTTAGGTCATTGTAATCGTGTTATTTGTGAAATCGGTGACCCATCACGACCGAGAAAGCCATGTTTACCGACAGCAGCAGCGAGACGGAGAGCTTATGATGAATGATAATAACGAAAAGCCCTTGATATGTTGTTAGCACTTCGATTGCTGTTCGACGGAAAACTCCTTAACAATTGTTAAATAGAATCTGCCAAATGAATCTCCTCATTGGCATTATCTACTGTCTAGACTTTATCCAGTTCTTGTTCTTGTTGAAGTGCCATATTTTCGTTGCTTTGCATTTGTAAGATAGACAGGGAGTGGGTGAACTTTGATCTAACCAGCCGACAGCACAACATTAACCAAATAGTATTGGTCGACCGTCCCCGCATGTGCTTTATTCAATAACCGTTTCATTGAAGTGTTTTTAACCATGATTTGCATGCGGGAGGAATATTACCAGGTTGCCCAGGCCACAGTCTGGATTCAGACGTGCGTGAAAAATAAATTATAAACAATAATTTGCAGTCAAGTTGTGCACTGCTATCTTTGGAATGGTTTACGGAATCATGTGCAAGATAATTTCATGTCTTTGAGTTCTAATCCACTAATTCGATCAACGTATCACCCGCACCTGTTTTTTCTCATCTGGACCATTTAGGACCTTACACAACAACACTACGCACAGTCACGTTTACCCTCTGATTTACTCAGTCGCAAAGACATTGGACCAAATATTACGAGTGAAACACCCGGAAGTTTCAGTTATCTGAGTCATGAAAGTGCCTCATTACGTCACGAAGGCGATTACCTATCGTTACCTTCGGGAGATCGACCGAAATTGGACTCGGACACTGCCGCGAGTGTTGTTGGTGATGACGATGAGGAGGTGGACGAATATTTGGATGATGAAGAGGATGTGGACGATTCCACCGGAGACGAGGGTGCAATGCTCAAGCACGCGCACGCTTCGGTTCAGGCTTATTGCCGCAGTACCACATCCACTACAGCGAAACCATCCGAACCATTGTTGTTCACCTCATCCACGTCCGCGATTGAGCCATGCAGTGCANAGTGCAACCGAAACAGGTTGTGAAGGCATTGCAGTTTCATCCGCTTTACTACCAGCTGTCAGTACTGACACACCAAATGCAGAAACTAACACGGAGATCGCATCAGAGAACGTAACCATCGTACGACCAGATGAGGGCTTGGTGTCTACTGATTCCTGTCCAGATCTTACCGAACCTCAGAACTCTGGAACCAGTGAATTGTCTATGGGGAATGAACCAAGTTGTTCCCCTCCTCCAATACTAACAGCAGTAAGTCTGGCACGATCAGCTAGCTAACTATCTGCCCCATTT